CTATATTCTTCCCAGGATAACTGTCCCTGCTCCCACTGCCTGTGCAGTTTCTTCTTGCTCTTTAGTTTGACCACCAGGTCTTTACTCATCCATGCATGTCTCTTGCCTTCCTCTCTTGATTTTTTAACACCTGGGGATCGAGAGCTCCATGGAAAGCATCCTTGAAGAGCTGCCAGCTCTGTTCTGCTCCCTTGTCCCTGAGGACAGTTTTCCAGGGAGTCCTACTGACCAACACCTTGAACAGCTGGAATTTTGCTTTCCTGAAATTCAGGGTCCTAACTTTACTCTTCGCCTGACCCATATCCCTCAGGTCTGCAAACTCCACCAGTGCGTGATCACTGCATCCCACGCTGCCTCCAACCTTGACATCTCTGATTAGCTCAGTTGCACTGGTGACCAACAGGTCCAGTATCGCATCCCCTCTGGTAGGGCTGTCTATTACCTGGCTTAAGCAGTTGTCCTCGATGCATTCTAGGAATCTCCTGGACTGCCTACAGCTTGCTGTGCTACTTTTCCGGCAGATGTCACAGTGGTTGAAGTCCCCCAGCACGACGAGAAACTGCAAGCACAAAGCCTCCTGGAACTGGAGGAAGAAGGCTTCGTTACTAGGCTCCCCTTGATGGGGCGGCCTGTAGGAGACACCAACCACAAGGCTGCCTTTGCTGCCTCCATCTCTGATTCTTACCCATAAGCTTTCAACCTGCTCGTGGCTGTACTTCAGAGACAGCTCTTCACCCTCTATCCATTTCTTGACAGAGAGGGCAATGTCTCTGCCTTTCCTTCCCCGTCTGTCCCTTCTGAACAGCCTGTAGTCATCGACCACCACACGCCAGTGGGGATTCACCCCACCAAGTTTCAGTAATGGCAACTAGGTCATTGCTTTCTAGCAGCATGGTGACTTCCAACTCCTCCTGTTTGTTGCATGGGCAACATGTGTTGCTCCATTGGTGTAGAGACACTTCAGCTGGGTTGTTGGCCATGTCACCTTCCTAGAGGAACACCCCTTAATTCCTTTGAGATATCTCAGTGGTGTTTCCCTGTTGACCCCTATTACCTCAGGAGCACCTGGCTCATCTCCGTAAGACTTCAAGTGTGCTGCAGTGTACCCAGCACATCTCAGAGCAACAGTCTGAGGGCCCTCACTAGCACCCCATCCTTCTAACCTTGGTGTGTCATCCAACAGCTGGTCACGGGCAAGTCTGGTATTATCCCCCTCCCCTCTTCATGTCTAGTTTAAAGCTCTGTCAATCAGGCCCGCTAACTCGTGAGCAAAGACCCTCTTCTCCCTTTGAGAAAGGTGACTTGGCCCATCTGTTTCTTCAAACAGCTTAATTTTGAGTGGGGACTGCAATAATGTTTTCATTCCTAAAACTGGCCACATTGTTAGTTCACTGATCACACCATTGTAAACACGGGATTCAGAGTTCCTTGTAAGCAGAGATCTTGAATCTTTACTTGTGTAGAATATCATCGTCTTAAAAAAACCCCACAGAACAAAAACCAAGTATGAATTCATGCTGGCACTGACAGCAAAATCTGAAAGTTGAAGTAGACATACACATTTGTGTGTAAAAGCCGATATGCTTTTTGAAAAAAGGGCATTTTTAAAACTTCTTTTGAATAAGTCACTGTTCTCTACATGTCAGTTCCTGATATAACTGCTGGCTTTACCTATATAGTATTGTATACTATTTTTAAATCTCTATTCCATATCTAGAGAACAGCTGTGTCAGGATGACCAAATCCAATTTTAATTTGACAAATTCCTTATTTCTAGAAGCTACAAAATGAAAAGTTTCTCAAATACACAACCACAAAATATTTCAAGAACTGGGAAAGAGGAAAACAGGATTCCAAAACTTCTACTCAAATGCCTAGTAATTTACCAGAAACTCCAATATTAACTCTAAAAAAATTAAGTGAAAAAAGAAGCATAAAAGGCATGAAACTTGGCTCTTAAAACAGCAAATGTTCATCTTGACATTTACATCACACTGGCAACTATAAAGTATACATGTGCTTCCAGAACTAAGTATTTCCGATTACTAACACGGTTGCTGAATAGGGTAGGATGGTACTATCTATTTCAAAGGTGAGCATTCAGTGGCCTACCATAACAGATCCAAAAAAATGAGTAAACCAACTAGCAGGTTAAATTACACCTCAAAGAAAAGCCATTAAGAGTCCATTTCTTTACAGACTGGATTAAAGCCTGTAAAGATATGGAGGCTAGCAATGCAACCACGTGTGTTAAATGACAGCTATCCATTTGTGTATTTCCACAGTGGTATGTCTAAACGTTGATATAGCTATTTCAGGCTGACAGGTAAGGGAAGAACCATAGGCAAATATTCCCTGCAGTTGCTCCCTTCTTTATGCAAACTCCAGAAAACAATGCAAGTCTCCACACTGCGAAGAAGCAGTATAAATTCCTCTCAACTACTAGGTTATGTCATCACTAATGAGACTGTAGCCTGTTTCCTTACCTTCCAATTACTTTAAAAAACAGGGTAAAATTTCAGACAGAACATACTTGTGCCACATTACAAGCTTTTCATCCATTTGTTCTGGAGAGAGTATTATCCAGAGCTACTCCAAGAGGTTAGCTTCTAATTAAGATTCCCAGATCTAGCGAGGTTACTCTTCCCGTTGGCTCTCAGAAGATATTCATCAAGATACACTAAAAAGTGCAGTGAAATGTATGTTGGAAATTCGGTAACAGAATTTACACTTGGCACAATGTAGGCCATATACTCTAACTGCTTGACATGCAACCTCATTCCTTAACAACTTCCCACTTTCTACAACTTTTGCCAAGGAAAATCCTTAACAGCGACTTCCCAGGATATTGTAGCAAAACAACTTTTGAGGGTAATAGCAAGGTCACGTTGTTTTCTAAGGTTGCTCATCACAGTTTGACTTGATACTAGGTTATTCATTATTTTTTGGCACCTTTCTACGTGGCACTCTGTTCTGAATGTAAACAGTAAAATGTGCTAAACAACATAAAAGTGGAGAGGAGTGCACAGTTTTTTCTCTCATGCCCATGCTTAAAATTTACAATATCCTACCAAATTTAATTATCACTTCACAGCTGAAGTGCTTCATTTCCTCAAAAGTCTTTGTGAAAAACTGTCAAAGGTTTTGAGTCCAAGAAGTCGTAACTGTGATTTCTCCTCCTATTAATTTCTAGAAAGAAAACTGTCTGTTCCTACTGCATGATCATACAGACTTATAAATTTTGCATATATAAATTATATGCAAAAATTGAAATAAGTATTTTTGATACCAGTTGACTCACAATACATCTTCCTTTTCTTATGCACAAATCTATCCACCAAGTTTGAAAGGCTCTAGTGAATTTTAATTAGATCATTATTTGTTAGTTACTGATCCCTTACTTGCTATATACACTTGATACACAGCTGAGAGTGTTGCTGAGTTACTGTTCAGTATCAATTTCAGAGAACTGCACTTTCAAGTAATAGTACTAAACAGCAGAATGCTTCAAAAATATATACATTATATACATATATCTTTCCTTTACAAACAACAAAAAGAATCACACCACTTCTTAAACAGATCAAGTTTAACAGTCATATTTATCTGAGGGAAATCAAGCACTTTATTTAGGTCAGTATCAGTTTCATTCTGAAGGGTGCACCTTGAGACTATTCGTTATTTCCTTGAACAGAAAGTCTGTAAGAAAAAGATGAAATATTTTAAGGTTTTATAAAAATGGTTTTGCTAACCTCGTACTGTCAGCTTGCTATATAACTGTGAGTTCATTTCCTTGTCTCTCTTGTAACGTCGAAATTCATCAACGGCTTCCCGCACCACCGTGACCGTCAAAACAAATCCCTGTTGAAGATATGATTACATAACTCAGAATTCTCAAAGAGCTAGAATAGAAATACACAAGTAGGAACACTCTACAGAGTAAGAACAAGTGCTTAGAATATTTACTTTTTTCCTCATTTTGGTGTTTTCTTCAATCTGTTAAAATAACAACTTTGTTTAGTCCAAAAAAAGTAAAATCATACTTGTACATTGTACAAATATAATTAGAATAACTACATCTCCAAATACATGTCATTAGATATAATCTGAAATTTTAAAAATTAAAATGCTTTGGATGAGCTAAAGACAGCCTTTATAGTTCAATAAGCTTATTTTACTGTCTTCCACAATTTTTAGGGCTTTACCAAAAACATTTAAGACGTCTCCAATTCTAATTTTGAGTTCACTACCTTCCTCCTAACAGACAGAAATGAAAAGGCAAACGGATAGCCAGTTTAATTAATTTTGCCATCTTAAATGTAGTTATGTACCAATATGTCACAAGTATTGAAAAAAAAACCCCACAGTTTTTTTTTTCTGAAAAACTAAGTATCTAAATGCTTTGGCCACTGCTTTCACAGGACAGTGCTCCTGTGGCTTCTGCTGGAAGCACAGAGTGCACAACATGAAACTGAGATGGTGTCTGGCCACGAAAGAATGGTAAGCTAAAAAGAATTCCGAACATTTCAGGGATAAGCACGCAAGAGTTTCCTCTCTCCCTTTCTAAACCTCCTCAGATATGGTCTTCTGGCTTCTTAAACTCAAGTGCTCAGTCCTTCTCAATCAGTGAAAGGAAAATAAAACTTTCAACAGTAAAGGGATCTTATTACTGTAAGATGGCTAAAAAAAAATCAAATATTCAGAAATGTGTCATCAGATAAGGTTCTATCTGGCTTCAGACACCCACCAATACTTTCATTCTATAGAATAAAATCTATACCATTAGACTCTTCTTGCAGAAGTCCAACAGTTTTGTCAACCTTCCCCCAACCTCCCAGCAATAAGAAAGGAGTGAAGGTGTAGAGTTTCCTAAAGGAGTCTTGACTAAAATTCTCCTTTTCAATAGCAAGGGCTGTTCTGCAGTTCCAGCCCAAAATTCCAAGGTTTATTCTGTTGCGACCTTACAGTTGAACACTTCTTGCCTGTTCAGGTTTACCTTAGCTACAGCAGTTATATTAGAACTATGCAGAACAAACGAATGCTTTTGCAAAATGCATTCCTTTTCACTCCGAGGGCATAACGGAATGAGTAGCAGGGTTTTCCCCTTTTCTGGCAGCGGCATTTTCATGAGCTGTGGCAGTATAGATAATTTAGCAGCATAAAAAAAGGCACCCCTGAAACACCTTGAAACACATTCGCCGTTGCACATATCTCACTACTGGACAGTAATCAAAGCACAGAATGCAAGGTGTTAGTTTCAGGAATTGCCCCGAGCGGTCAGTGTACCTTACCGCACAGCTCAGCACAGCTGACCGTGACTATGAGGAAAAATTTCAGACAGACATTTCCTTCTTCCCTTACTTGCTCAAAGGAACTTAATACTCTTCCAAAGGGGAGCTGCAACTGTGAGGCCTAGCTCACAAAAACCTGCCATCTTTCTTTAAGCAGTTAAATATCTTCAGCATACTGCTCGCAAACCTGCATGCTTACATCCGTTGTACGTTGGACTCGAAATATGAAGTCCATTGCCTACTGTGCAAATGACAATGGAGAACTCCAGTGCTTGACCTAAGTGTATTATGTCTGTTTGTTGTAAAAACCATCGAAGCAAAACAAAAAAACACCAAAAAAACAAAACCAAAAAACACCCTTAAAAAAACCCACATACCACCAGAAAACCCCCCAAACCTTTTCGCATGTAGTCAACTTCTATTCAGTTGGTTTTAAGTATCAGGCCAAACAATTTTTTTTCCTTTAAAATCTTGAGAGAAAATATGAGCCAAGTCATCACTACTTCTCTGATTATTACTGAAAAATTATCAGCTGCTACATGCTCTTAAAAGAAAACCAAACTTATTTGTTAAGAAACACAGACAGAACAATAGGTCTGACTTACATGTTTTATATTTTCATCATACATACTGAGCCTTACTCAAACCCAAGCAATCTTTTTTATCTGGAGGTCAATAACTAGTAGAAAAGCTATTCAAGTAGAAACAAGTGAGTTTAGCAAAGAAGGGTACCACTAGCACTAACTGCGATACTGTTGTATTTTCAAGCTGTATGTGAAAACTGGGAAACGTCATTCAGAATATCCTTGAATAAGACAAACACATCTATACAGAAAGGGTTATCCATGTTTGCCAAATACAGTATCTTCTCCCTTCTTTGGGCAGGGATGAGATGGGCTGAGATGCCAAATGATTTTTTTCCTTACTATCCCACTAAAGTATAGAGCTGTACACAGCACTTTACTGAAGAGACTAACTTCCAGACAAGGCTGACTTCCGTCTTTTCTTACTGGGTCAGTGACAAAGATATCTGTAAATATTCATTTCAAATCCCACTGTTGAACAAGCTTTCTGTCTTGGAAGTGATTTCTGTTGCAGTAGAAGCCAAAAGTTACCGGGAAAAGGAGGTGTGAAGAACCTCCAGGACAGTCTCTCCACTTATCAATACTTAAAAGGACACATGTCGCAACAATTAAAACAATGAAATCAATCCAGAATATTTACTCTATTGACTTGTTAAGAACGACCTTTACTCAAGCAGTCAGCATATCACTGTTCCTCTTGAATACCGAGAATAAATACTACTGGAAAATACCATTTTTTAAATAAATTTAGAAAACAAAGCATTTGTTCTTCCTGCCTTGCTTCTAGACCTGGGGTGGACGGGCCAGGAGAAAGATGAAAATAATGATCTGTTTACAAACAAGAAAAGAATTCCAAATCATGGGAATATAGCTGGCAGACTACCAAAAGGGCCTCCTCCGAAGAGAATACAATTTTCAAACCTTAGGAAACCAAAGTCACAAGCAACCGGTTTGAACAGCTTCCCAAGAAAATACTGCAGAGGGCTCAATAATAAAAAGACATATTGAAAGGAAGCCAGTGCAACAGGCAGGGCAATCCATTAGCAAACGCATGTTTAATGAATCCTTATTTTCAAGATGCATTTTCCTCCTGCTTTACCCATGAGATAAAATAATTTATCTCAATTTTTTTGGGAAAAAAAGGACACAATCAAAATAAAGGAATGCAAAAAGTTTATGCTTTCAATCTGACCTAGCCTGAAAACATAAAATAGTAAGTAACAATAAACTGAAAGAAATATAACACACAAATTATCTATGTCACCAAATAAGGTGCTCTGCTAGCCGTAGGCTTTTCTGTGCAGTGCTCACTCAGACTAGCTGCCTAGCAAGAACCAGGCCCAGCCTGCGGGGCAGTAGGCAGCTGGCAGGGAGGGCTATCAAACAACACCTTCTGGAGTATCAGCTGTAAAATACTCTAATTTCAAATAAGCATTTTACTTCTGTTACACACTTCAATCACTGTAGTTTACCAGATGCAAATTTATGAAAAGTATGTATACATGCACTTTTCATCTGAAGTCAAAAAAACCAAACTTCTAGTTCATACTATTTTTGAGCTTACCAGAGGAGCCCAGTACGTGTACAGGTAGCCTATTTTCAATGCTGGTACAAACTGTGAGCAGGACACGACGAGAAAATAGAGATTCAAGAAAAACTTGAACTGCTCATATAAAACCTAAAATCAAAAACACAGAATAGATAAATGCCTTAAAATTTGTACCCATAATGTACATAAAATCCACTTTTTCGTGATAGTATATATAAAACCATTATATGGCATACTATTCTACATGGTACTATTACAGGACTATATAGCACAATATGCCATATATCATCACAAACTACTACATGCACTATGAGTTATTTTAATATTATACTGCTCTTTTTGTTGAGACATCCTTCGATATTGATGAGTCTTCTCACTCAGAAAAAGCAATTTGCTAAATCTTTGATATTTTGAAAACTGGACTACATGAACTCAATCTTTACAAATATTAAATATACACCAAGATCACTGTGCAAAGATTTACTCTGAAATTAACAGTAAGCAGAATTCAGATGTCTGTAGAAGCATCTTACAATAATTTAATATCCACAAGTTACCTTAATGTTTGAGTTAGAACAGTTTTTGAAAATTTTCTTTTTTTATAGTCTCCATTAAAAAAAGCAAAATGAGTTTGTGTGAGGATCTGAACTTTCATTGCTTACATTAAGTTTTCATTTTTAACGTCTAAAACTTCTCTTCCTAAAAATACAGCATTAAAAGCAAATCTTAATTTTTCCTTAAGTACCAATATTTAAATTCTGTTCTGTGTTTCAATGTCTCTTTGTCTTAAAAATTTTCATATCCTGGTGTTAAATAATAATTAAAAAAAACATTGGCATCAAATGAACAGAAACCATTTACAAAAATATTACCCTAGTCTCTGTCATTTTAACTCCTACAGAGTAACAAAACCGAGTAGGCTACACCATGCTGCTCTGCATCACTAGGAGATACCCTAAAAAAACATACAGAAAATAGTATACATGAACCCCTCGTTACTTTTGTTGGCTGCATTCCCTCAACACACTCTCTCCTCAATACAGCCACTGAGGTTTCTCCTCTTGCAAGGGTGAAAGCTTTACATCTCACATGCCTTATTTCTGAAGTTCTTTGCTTCTTCAAGGGACAAAGGATACCATCAAGTCAGACGCACTCCTTTAAAATATCCATTTCCCACTGTTCTTAAAAATAGTGAAACTGCCCAATGTTCGAGAACAAATGTTGTTTAGGAAGACAAAACGAACACTATTGAAAGCATCCAGGGAGCAAGGGTGAGCGACCCTGCCCTCTTTCCAAATGGCTGTTGTGTGGCAACCTCAGAACAAGGCAGTCAGCTTCAGTTTCCACAGCAAGACAAGCCTTTTACAAAGCAACTGCAGTTGAAGTGTTCAGAAAATTTAAACCACAAAAAATTTGTAACACAGTAACACGGGCTTTTGAGGTAATTGAGAAGAAACGCTCAGCATTTATTTCCTCAAAAGATTATTTTGCAATATATATTGGTACATAAGATATGTTTATTAATAAATCAAAGCTTTGGTCTAAACTCCAAGATACATGTCCAAGTTTCAAATGAAGACACAGTAACCTTATCACAGAATAAATTGTCCCATATTCCAAAGGAATGACAGATGCAGAGATTCCTTTGGTAATCAAAAGCACCACTTCAGCAAGTGCACGTTCTCAACATTGCTTTAATTATAATTACAGTGCTAAGAACATTATTCATTTTACAGAATTTTGAATCTTCAAAGAATTCACATATTTCTTTAGTAGGCCAGGATAACAGGGCACCTCCAGCAGGATGATCAGCAGTGGCTACGGAACTTGGAACACTGAGATTTGAGAAAATGGATAATCAATTGTGTCAAAGCTAAAAGATTCAAAACAGATCAAAAAAACACATTTTAGAAGTGCCTCCATCTTTTACTCTTACAATTCAGTTAATATTACAATGACTTCTGCATGAAAATCAAAGTTATTGGACAGGTATTTGTTGATCCTACATCCAACATTATTACTCAAACCTATGCCCTAGGAAAAAATACTCCAGTAAGTTCATTTCAAAGTGTCTTTCTGGCAGGCACAAGAAAGCAGTAGTACTCAAAATTGGCAGTTCTTGAAAGAGTGCTACATTACTGTTCAGCTACAGGCTACCTAAACAGCCTCAAATCAGAAGATTTTTTCAAAAGCATGGAATTCTATTCCACTATTTACCAACAAAACTGTCAAGCCAAAAAAGTCAAATTTGAAGTTGCAGGGAAAGTTGGAGTACTCTTCCAAAAGGAAACTAACTCAGCTTGAACCCGTGCCTCATGGTAATACTGATGAAGTTCATAGACTCCTTTCTAGCAGTATGGTTCACTGTTTACAAAGACTTGATATACCAGGTCAAAGAAAAGTCCACAGAGTACTTTGGGAGGTGCAGATCTGCAAAAGAACCCATCGTGCAGGAGAAGATGGGAGGTAAAAAGCACTTTCCTACAAATCTTCTGCATCATGGCAGACCACTGACAGTTCTTCCAATACAAAGCTAAACGCTTCAGCCTAGCTAAGCAAATTAAGAAGTCTCCGGTTACATAAACTGAACTAAAAAAATAGACTACTACTTTGAAGTTCAGGAGAGGTATCTTGAAAACCTGTCCATCACAGAAGATATTCTTTATGGAAATTTACACAACATTCCTAAGCAGCTGTACCAAGATGTATATGCAATAGTAAACAGAAATTGAACAAGTTGGTGTAAAGATAGAAGCAGTCAGTATTTTACACAAATGTTAGGCAATTAATGGTATTTTGGAAATGTTATAGTTCTTTGAGCCAACATGTAAAATTCTGTTAATCCAAACACTATTTTAAGCTTGTATTTTGATATGAAATCATTGAATACTACCCATTGCCAGCTACAAAGTTAAAAAAGACACAGCTCTAAACAGAAGACAAGACTTGGTATGATGAAAATTTCAACCAGAGTAAATCACTGGAGTCAATATTTATGACTTGGTTACATTTATGGGTTTGGAACTAATACAACTATGTTCCCTACAAATTACTTCTAATGGAACAGCATAAAACCCAGATAGCTACACAGTATTTCTAATCAATGAAAACTGTTAATATATGTCTAAAAATAACATTTAGAAACATTTTCTTTTCACCAACTATTGGGCTTTAGGTTTAGGATCTCACTTCGTTTTGAAGCTACTGCTGAGTTTCCAAACGCTAACACCAAAATAAAAATCTGATTCTGCCTATACTGTAAAAAAAACCAAACATTTTCAAAAGATCAAACAAGAACAAACATTCTCACTCTCAACAGGTAATTGCAAGCTATGGCTGATCCCGATAGGAAACATGAATCTAGTTGTAATCTACACTGCAGATTTCTAGTCACAATAATCAATGGTTTACTATATGCTTAATGAATTTTTTGACCTTCGGGAAAGCATATGTGGCTTAACCTATTTCAGTGTATTTAATAATTTAAACTTCGGAAGAAAACATTTACTTCGTTCAATAGAGATGAGAATATTTTATCCGCCTGTGATAAGTGACATTTTGTTTCTTTGACAGGAGATCAGTCTTAATTACAAAGCCATTAATTTTTTTTTGTTTTAATAAAGAAATGTATTAGAAAGCATCTGCCAGTCATTGGATGAAAGAGGCCAGAAGAACAGAATCAATACTCTTCTCAACCAGCATGATGACTTAAATAAAAAATTTAAGACAAAGCATGTCTGTATTCAAATGCAGAAGACATTCAGGTTTTGCAACAGGACACGGGACTCTTGGACGGTATTAGTCAAAGTATGACTAAAAGCATATTAGTAAAATTTATAATATCACAGCAGCATACATTTTTAGATTTTAACTACTGAAGCTTCAAAAGTTGTCTTCTCTATCGCTATTTTTCATTATAACAACAGATTTTTTTAAAAATATGAACCAGACAAAACTGTAATGTCTCTTTTGTCTTCATAAACACCGTGAACATTACAGGCAAAAAAAAATACATAATATGGCTTTTTTTGGAAAAAGGTGACAAAAAATCCTTCCACTCCACAACAAACGTATTGTCTGAAGAACTGTGTTCAAAACCAAAAAGACATCACTGTTTTTATAACTGCAGTAAGAAATATAACTTTGAAAAGAACTAGTTTACTAAGCTAGGCCTTACTTGTTGTCATATAAATTGAAGAGGTGGGTTGATTTTGTCCTTTAAGGCGTTGCCTGTTTCAGAATACCTTATTTATTATTACACTTTCAATGGCAGAGAGTACGAGAAAATATTTATGGGCATACACAGCAATTTTCTACTATTAATTTCTCAGCTGAAGTCAGTGCTTCATAGTATTTTCACAACTGGCTGTGTAGAAATGCTTCTGTTTCAAAAAGAGGATTACAAATTACTAACGATGAATAGAAAAGTGCAAGGAAACCCATCTCAAATTTCTAAATCTTCACTGAATTCCAACCACTCAATTATACATAGTGCACTTCGTTAGCAAATACCCCTTTGTAAACAACATTTAGAAAAAAGAAGCCTTACTCTCAACTGTCAATTTTAATTGAAGACACTGAGATAAATGTAAAAACAAAAAAAAAGAATCTGGGCAAATAAAATTATCTTTCTGCAGAATTGTCAAAAAACACTACAGAACATACAGTCAGCCCAACACCAAAAAATGGTTAGCAGCCTTACCCCAGGTATAAAGGTAAAGACGTTGTATTTTTGATTTTTTATGGCATTTTTGGGGTATTTTTCTTCACACTTTTCAGGACACCCAAGCCACACTGTGCGAGCCTTCAGCTCTTTCTTTCTTCGGCAAATGTTTATGAGCCAATCAGAACAACTGAAAAGAAAAACAATTGTTTACTTTAAAACTAAAAATTTACTATATGTGTTACTGTTTCTAAACTTGGGACCCTAAAGGCAAACACCTAAGAAAAACAGGCTTGAAAATTTTTGCCACATCTAAATAAGCAAGCATGATGTTGACCTGTAATATTTAGGGCAATTACACAATACTCAACTCATTCAGACATGTACATATAGAAACACTGGCACATTCTTTACAGGAAATCCTAATAAAACAATGACAAGTTTCACTTCACTTTACCCTGACAGAGGTTCAAAAAATTCTAGTTAACACAGACCTGCATTAGCAGTGCCTAAATTCCCCCACTGTTAACTAATTAATTCATCCATCATACCTTACAGTCCTTCGGCTAAACTCTTTATCTTGTATTACTGATACTCAAATTATACTAATGATTGAAGAGGAAATAAGGCTTCTGTTAGATAAAGTTAGAAAAATTTCAACAGCTTTGTATACAATTACCACATAATTTATAAATCTTGGTTTCCTCCATCAGACTGCCTATAGCAGACATCACAGGGGAGCATACCTAATGCCATGCTGTCAAATGTTTTCAAACAAATGAAAAACCAAACCTGATGTAGGTGCAAACTGCACAAGGATCTGCAGTGGTGAACTTCAGTTCACAGCGGAAAGGAGGAGCATCCTTGCCTAACCAGCTTACAAATCTACTGAAGAGGGTTTAAACTAGGAGCAGTGAGACAGGAAGAGCTCACAGCCACCTTTCAACAACTGTAATTTGGACAAGGACACAGGAAGGATGGGCGAGATCACAGTGTAGGAAGAACAAAAGGCTGGCAAACAGAATTATGCCACCAACACTCAGCAGACTATTTACTAACAACAGTAAAACAACAAACAAATATGGATGTGACTCAACTCACATAACATAATCAGCCTAAGACTTGCTAGGACTATCCACAGGGACACATTATTAACGCAGATGAGTACAGATGGTTTGGAAAGAACTGGCAGTGTGGAAAGAAAAGCAGGTTTGCCATACATTGTACATACTTGTTTTGCAATCCTGTATGTTAAAGGATAATTTCTCTGCATTTTTTAATACTGGGGGGAGGTGCCTTAATCATGTTGGGAATCTGTTTTAAGCAGGTGAATCAGGAAGACTGAGTGTACAAGCCTTCCACGAGCACCTGCCGGGCCGAAGCACAGACCTAGCTGGTCTCAGTGGACTTCAGCTACATCAGCAGGTGAAGGTGAAGGAAACTGACACACGTTTTCTAGTGAGGATTTTGAATATACTGACAGTAGTTTTGATGCAGAAAAGGGTAACCATTAGGAAGCTCTTACAAATTGTATTCAAACCAACAAGAAGGATTTTGCTGAGAACAGGAGGGGAAAATTATGATCCAGTCACCTCAGCATTGTTTTCTGGATGAATTCTGTATAGTCAACCTATTTGTATGTATTTGTACACACCTGAAAGGAAACGAAAAGTCATAACCAACACAGACATGTCAAGAGCAATCTCTAAAACAGAGCTAATTTCTCCCTGAGCAGAACCAGATGCACCACTGCTTGAGAGTATATGTCCTCTCTCGACTCCTGGGGCAAGATGTCCCTGCCCATGGCCAGGGAGGTTGGACTAGATTATCTTTAAAGGTCCCTTCCAACCCAAATCATTCTATGATTCTATTTCTCTCATAAAATTTAGCTCTCAAGGTATTTCTCCTAAGGAAAGTAAAGCAACATATTCTTGGAACAGACACAGTTGGAAAAATCAGAATTGCAGAACAGCTTGTTATGAAACCAAAATAATTTCAGTGAAGTTCTGCAAAGCTTTATCAAGAACTTGCTGGGTAATTGACTATCAGATATTTCATTTTTCAGACAACAAAAAGCTAGAAGAGACAGGAAAACATGCAAAAAGGAGACTAGAATTCAAAGCTGTCTTGACAGATTTGAAAAACTACCTGGAAGAGACAGAATGCAGTTAAACAGGCAAAAGCGCAACACAGCCCGCTTAGACAGAAATAATCAGCTACACAGATACAGAATTGGAAAATAGTTACTAGATGGCAGCTCAGAAGAGGACTCATTTACTGCATGAGAAGGATATACATGTACAAAAAGAGGCATAGACCTGGTCAGCATGGACAGGCACATTGCTACCAAGTCATGAACGTATTCCTTATTCTTAATTCGGTGCTAGAAAGATCTCAGTTGTCTTGCAATAGCATTTTGAATACCAGGTTTCAATAAACAGGCCTGTTGGGAAAACAAAGACCACACACGAGCAACAAAAAAATTACAGGTCTAGAAAGCAGGGCAGGCTTTTCTACTAGATACACCAAAAGAAACAGAGTTGTTTGGAGAAGGCCAAGTGTGGACCTAAAATGGTTTCAAGTATCTAAGAAACAGCTGCAAAGGGACAGTTCTTCTCTAGGTCTACCACGATTAAGTAATGATGGACTTCAACTGTAGCAAACAAATAAGCCGGGGCGACAGACGTAAATGCTTCTAACAGCTAGGGTGGAGAGAAACACTCCAGGAGCCTGGAATTGCTACCACTGCAGGTCTCCAAGATCTGGTTAGATCAGACATAAGTGATGGGTGTAATTCATCCTGTGCAGGCAAGGAATCGACCAGATGATCTCTTAAGGTCCTTTCCTATTCTATTTTTCCACAATTACAATATGACGGTACACACAAATACGCAGGGAAGGAAGGCTGATAGTCAGCTTACATCGTCACAGTTCCACTTAAAATGTTCTTGTCTGTAGCCTACACTACACCAGGCCTATTACAAACCAATCTTGCCAAAGAACAAATGGAATTCAAGTTGCACTCTCTTTTTAAAGAAAACTAGAAGTTACACAATAGCAAAATCATTCAAAGCAACAATCACTTTTTTATGGAAATGCCACTACACCAACTCACAAGCTGACACTGAAGTGTTTCAAAATGCTGGATTCTTAAGATTTCCTCCCTGAAGCTACAGGATGGACATCAATTTGGTTTGACCCTCTCAAGTTTAAACTACAGGCCAGTCAGTCTCACCTCTGTGCCCAGCAAGATCACGGAGCAGATCCTCCTGGAAACAATGCTAAAGGCACATGGAAAATAAGGAGGTGACTGGTGACAGCCAATTGTGCCTGACAAATTTGATGGCCTTCTATGACAGGGTTACTGCACTGTGGATAAGGGAAGAGCAACTGACATCTACCTGGACCTAAGCAAAGCATTTGACACTGTCCCACATGACATCCTTGTCTCTAAATTGTAGAGACATGGATTTGACACATGGACCACTCGGTGGATAAGGAATTGGCTGGATAGTCGCAGTCAAAAAGTTGTGGTCAACAGCATGATAGCCAAGTGGAGACCAGTGATGAGTAGCACTCCTCAGGAGTTGGTATCGAGACTGGTGCTGTTTAACATCTTTGTCTGTGCCATGGACAGTGGGACTGGGTGCACTCTCAGCAAGTTTGTCGACGACACCAAGATGTGTGGTGCAGTCGACACGCTGGAGGGAATGGATGCCATCCAGAGGGACCTTGACAGGTGGGCCCACGTGAACCTCATGAAGTTCAACAAGGCCAAGTGCAGGGTCCTGCATCTGGGTCAGGGCAACCCTGGCTATAAGCACAGGCTGGGGAATGAAGGGATTGAGAGCAGCCCTGAGGAGGAGGACTTGGGCGTGCTGGTTTGCAAGAAGCTCAACATGACCCAGCAATGTACACTCATAGCCCAGAAGGCCAACTGTATCCCGGGCTGCATCAAAAGCAGCATGGCCAGCAGGGCAAGGGAGGGGTTTCTGCCCCTCTCCTCCGCGTTGGTGAGACCCAACCTGGAGTCCTGAGTCCAGCTCTGGAGCCCTCAGCACAGGGAAGACATGGATCTGTTGGAGTGGGTCCAGAGGAGGGCCACAAAGATGATCAGAGGGATGGAGCACCTCTCCTGTGAGGAAAGGCTGAGAGAGTTGGGGCTGTTCAGCCTGGAGAAGAGAAAGCTCCAGGTAGAGCTCATAGCAGCATTCCAGTACCTGATGGGGGCCTACAATGGAGCTGGAGAGGCACTTTTTACAAGGGCCTGTAGTGACAGGACAAGGGTTAATGGCTTTAAACTAAAAGAGGGTAGATTTAGATCAGATATAAGGAATAAATTCTTTACTATGAGGGCGGTGAAACACTGGAACAGGTTGCCTGCAGAACCTGTGGATGCTCCCTTCCCTGGAAGTGTTCAAGGCCAGGTTGGATGGGGCTTTGAGCAACCTGGTCTAGTGGAAGGTGTCGTGCTGCGTGGTGGTGGTGGGGCTGGAACTAGATGATCTTCAAGGCCCCTTTCGACCCAAACCATTCTATGTAAACATGCATATTCTTTTTGTTACAAATCAAGCCCATTCAGCAACTTTTTCCCCATCACCTTTAAACAGCGACAAAGAATTATTCTATTGTAAAAACTGAAACATTGTTAGTTCAACATTCAAATTTCTGCCCTGCTATTTAGTAACCTACAAGTCAGAACAATCCAGTTACCTTGATCATCACTTAAATTTCTCTTTCAAGCTAAATGAACAGCAGTCTTCCTATGTCATGGTTCCGCAGTTTAACGGCTGTGAACCTGTACTGCTGCTGCTGAAATAGCTAGTGCCAGCCTCCTCCCACAACGAAGGTGTGGACTTTTGCCCCTTCCCTTGTGCTGACACAACTACTCATGCAACTGCACAGGTAAACCAGACCTGTGAAGTGATTCAGCTGCAAACTAATGCAGAATAAGAAAGGGGACAATTTTCAGTTAGAACCACCCCTGATCTTTAAAATCTATAAAACTAAAAATACTTGAAACAACGCAGGCTACATGCTTGCAGGAGAAGGTGGAACAATTCCACTCAGTGCCAGCTTGGATTTACACTTGATAAAACTGCTCACGGAATTAAAGCTTTAAACATCTTAGCTTCCAGGGCAAGAGGGAGGCGGAGAAGACAATACAAATGAAAGACAGCTTAGCTGTAT